TAGAGAATATGGACTAGTGTTTAACTCCAAAAAGTGTCTGATTGGAATTGAAGAAATTCCGTTTTTCGGTCAAATGTACAACAAGAATGGTGTCAGGCCCGACCCTGACAGGATCAGAGACATCAACAAACTAACTGCTCCCCAAACAAAAGGTGAGCTACGAGAGTTCTTGGGAATCGCAAACTACATGGCACCTTATGTAGCAAACCTAAGTGCACAGACGAGTGTTCTGAGGGAACTTCTTAATGAAAACGTACTGTTTGCATGGAATCAGACATACCAAGACTCATTTGAAAATGTTAAAAATAGTATTTGTAAAGAAACAGTTCTAAATTATTTTGATCCGCATACTCATAGTGTTATACAAGTTGATGCATCCTTGAAGGGCCTTGGCGCTGTACTAATACAAAATGGCAAACCTATTTGTTTTGCATCAAAATCTCTTACTAAAACTGAGCAGCGGTATGCAAACATTGAGCGTGAAATGTTGGCTGTGATTTACGGCATTGAAAGATTTCACACTTACGTTCACGGTAAAAGTTTCACGATAGAAACCAATCATAAACCCTTGCTTATGATAGTTGAAAAGAATCTAGCCAAGGCACCTCCCAGAATGCAGCGTTTGTTACTTCGTATACATGGTTATAAAGCTACGCTTGAAATGATTCTTTCCGATGGTTTGTCGAGACTTATGAGTCCTGATCGATCTGACCCCGATTTCACACTTACGTTTACGGTAAAAGTTTCACGATAGAAACCGATCATAAACCCTTGCTTATGATAGTTGAAAAGAATCTAGCCAAGGCACCTCCCAGAATGCAGCGTTTGTTACTTCGTATACATGGTTATAAGGCTACGCTCGAAATGATTCTTTCCGATGGTTTGTCGAGACTTATGAGTCCTGATCGATCTGACCCCGATGTCCAACTGGACATGCGTGTGCATTTTACTTGTACCGAGAACACCCAGTCAAAACTGGTTCGCGAGACCAATTCAGACCCTGTTTTATCCCCTCTAAAGGAACTTGTTGTTACAGGTTGGCCCAGTAATATGCACAGTGTTAGTCGTCCTTTAAGGCAATTTTACTCTATTAGAGATCTACTGTCTGTACATGATGGGTTAGTGTTAAAGGGAGTACAGATACTCATACCTGCGAGTATGAGAAAAGATGTTCTGATTAAGTTGCATAAAGGTGACTTAGGCATAGATAAAACTAGGTTATTAGCTAGAGACAATGTTTTTGGAAAGGAATAAATAAGGATATTGAACAATTTATTCAAAAATGTACTGTCTGTCAGGAAAGCTCACGCTCAAATATAAGAGAACCTCTTGCACCTATGGATGTTCCTTCCAGACCATGGCAACGCGTAGCCATTGATTTATTTACATATGAGGGAGAGCATTATTTATTAGTTAGCGACCCTTATAGTAAATACCCTTTTGTAAAGTCATTATGTGGTAATACATCCTCGTCTAAAGTTCAAGGGGTGCTTTTGGAAATATTTTACGAGCATGGTTTTCCTGCAGAGATTATGTCTGATAACGGACCTCAATTCGATTGTAATTCATTTAAAATGTTTTGTAAAGCATGGAATATAAGACATGTCACGAGTAGTCCAAGGTATCCCCAATCCAATGGATATATTGAGCGTTGTGTACAAACTGTTAAAAGACTGCTTATTAAGGCATTGGCATCGGGTACATCTTTGGACCACTCATTGTTTATGTACAGAATTACGCCTATTAGTTCTAAGCTCTCTAGTAATGCCGAGCTTTTGTGCGGTAGGAAATTTCGCAGTAAAGTGCCCTGCAGGGTTGCCCCTCCTTCGTACAGTGAGGATACACGTGACGAGTTAATATCACGTCAAGAAACACAAAAGTCATATTATGATAAGAGAGCAGGAGTCGAACTTAGTGAATTAGAACGAGGTCAATATGTTCGTATACAAACAGATAATAGGATATGGAAATTGGCACGTATTTTAAATAAATTGCCAGAACCACGTTCTTATAATGTTTTAATGTCTAACGGTTCTTGCCTAAGAAGAAACCGTAAGTTTCTCAAAGTTGTTGAGCCTGATGAAATTGATTTATTACATTCTAAATCTAGTACAAATAATAATTTCAGTCAGTTTAATTCATGTACCTCTAATACTGATATTAGAGAAACTCCAAAAAAAAATGTTAGTTTTGCTGGCAACATCGATTGTCCTACTAATCCAAATCCCCAGGGTATTTGTACACCCTCTCCTGCTAAAGATAATTTAGACAGGTCTATGTCAAATACAACTGTTAGTCCTTCTGATAGTCCTACTGTTCCGTCAACCACAACTCGGAGAGGTAGAATTAGTAAACCTCCTGTAAAGTTAGATTTGTGATATATGTTATATAAATGTACAAATGTTTTGTAAAGGAAGGGGGATGTAATGTGATATGTCAGATACAGTCTGGTTATACGTGTCTATTACGTCACATGACTTCCGGCTTCCTCCCAGCTGTTTGTCGTTGTTTTGCCGTTCACCCTGTAAGACATGTTTGCCATGCTGTTGATCCAATAAACTATATGCCTACATGGTATGGTCTTTGTCCAGTCAATATAACTTAACAACTCGGGGGTCATAACTCCGAAACCGGAAGTGGTACACTAACGCCACCTGGCCTATGTTACTCCCCGGTCCGAGCTACCCCTATACCCCAAATTTCAGACTCGGGGCAGACCTAGTGTAGCCGCCAACCCCGAACAGACCGGCTTCGCTCGGGGGTCATTACTCCGAAACCGGAAGTGGTAGACTAACGCCACCTGGCCTATTTCAGACTCAGGGCAGACCTGGTGTAACCGCCAACCCCGAACAGACAGACAGACAGACAAACGACAGTCACAAATATTAGTATAGATATATACTCTCAATTTCCAACCAACTCTTACTGCTTAGCTTAAAACACTAGATTCACCATCGACAAGATTCAAACTGGAAGGAACAAATTTCATATGTAAATCTATATTTTAAAGTAACCACACAATTAAAGATTTCCTTAATAATAGAATTCAAATGTGTATGCCTACCACCATGATTCTCCCAAACTGATATTACTGTCATATTATGCACTGACCCTAGAATCTCTTAATGACACATCCAGGGACTGTAACGTTTTTAAGATCGCAATAGGTTTACATTCATATTTCATGTGACATATAGCAGAACATGACTCATGCTAGTATTATACAATAGTCTTCTCCGGGTTATCTTTCCGATTGTTTTCAATTTTGAGTGGACTCTACATGGCAGTGGACGCTTACGGCTAGCCCCCGAATCCATTTACCTAATTTGAGTTGTTTGTGATTTCTGCGTATTGTGGATTTGTTTTCTGTAAACTATATGTGGTGGAGTCCCCCCCATGCACTTACTATATTAAGATGAATGGAACGGATGTCGCCCTCAGGCCAATAATCTCCCAGGTTTATTTGAGATTTCACTAGGTTCTCATTACAGCCCCATATATAAATTGTGAAAAATCCGTTGCCATATCGATGGTCTTATGAAACTCTGGATGCCAAAACGAAGCCCCTTGCCATGAATCTATAAACTTCCAATGTTCTAATTCTGTCCTAAGATCACTAGCAACATCTACATTCCGGAACTGCCAACGCCATCGAAATACACTTACAGAAAACCACTGAGGCGTCTTTATATCAACATTCTTACGAGACAAAACATAAACCCTTAACTCAATAAATTTCACCTTTTTGTCATCAGGGAGAATATATGCCTGTTCACCCGAATCAATATTTAGTCCTGCGTATTTCAAACAAGTCGTCGGCTCGCGGATGCATTTATCCGAAGATAATGTGTACCCTAATCTAGTCAGAAAGCTTAGCAGAACGTAGGCCAGTCTCTTTGGTTGGTCATATCTCTATCCTGCGGAAGTAAATTTGGATGATGAAAGAAACCGGTCATCAATATATAATGAATTAGTAATGAAATATTCTCTTAAATATGAAGGCACGGATATGCCAATAGACTGGAATATAAACGGCGTGGCTTTCCAACCAAATGGATGAGTGGTACAGGTCATTACATAACCTCCAAACTGAATACCAAAGTAGGTCTGTGACGCTTCGCTTAACCTAACATGGTCATAACCAGATTTTGTATCATACGCTATCATAAAAGCATTTACATCTATCATTCTATAAATATCTCTCAAGGTTACCAGATGAAAAAGCGAATCTCTAATCCAAAGATTTAAGAAACGTTCATCATGGTATAATGGGTTTACTCGGTTCAACGGTCAGCGGCATATAGTTTTGGACGTTCACTCTCACCAGCCTTACCTAACCGACCCTGTGGCAATACGATTACAGAGCTCTCTACATACAAATTCGGGATGCTCCATACAAGAGGCCGAATTGTGAAAATATTGCTTCGGATGTATATCGCTATCATAATATCCCCCTTTAAAGTTACCCTTCAATGACTCGAAGAAACTAGAAACATCAACACCGTATTTTAACCAGTTCAAGACATTATCGGAATTAAGAGTATTTAAAATATCCTGCTCATGAACTTGACCAGACATAAAACATTTAGGATCTCGCAATAGAAGTAAATCAATATCATACAAGATATCTTTGTTACATAACACTTCGTCAGCTATCGGATATACGTCAGATGATGAGGGATCACTGCCCCCAGTGTAATCCATTCTGGTTGAGTTATAACCGATATCAACGTAGGGTCGAAAGCACAACTTAACAGTAGGACGTTAAACTCCATTTCATTTCTTTCCCATTCTGGTACAAATAAACACTGTAAATATTTTCCCTGGAGTGATAATCAATTTCATTCTATAAAACATTTAAAATGCTAGTACTAAACTAGGTCAAATTACACAAGGCGATATGCCCCTCTCACCCTCGTGAATCAAAAAATCCACTAAGGAATATTCCCCATGTCAATGGCAAGAAAGAACACAAAACAAAAATCCCATCTAGATTTAGATTATTTCCCTTTGGCTGTTTTCATTCCCCTATTATTCACATGATTTTCTTTTATCTTCGAACATTCTCTAATCTGATGGTCTTGATTCTCGCAAAACAAACACGCTCCACGAGGTCTAAAACCAAAGGGGTGGTATTCTTGACTAGCGCCTCCACCAACAGCGGGATTGAAAGGACCTGAATACATAGGTACAAATAGCTGAGAATATATGATGGTGACTGAAAAGGAGGATAACAGTTTGATAAAGGAGACAATGCAGTCAAGTCAGCCTTCATACACTTAGTTATTGCTTTTCCGACGTGGTTTCCCCTTGTCAATGGTGCAGGACGGAGGGCCTGACAAGGGCAGCTGTCTAGTCATTCGGATAAGACGTGCACGTAAACGATCCCTTGGCAGTTGGAATTCGATATACGAGTAGGCCGTAGTGCCGCTGCCCGGGCAAAATTACCCTCATAGCACACTGTATGGCGTATGCCCGTCTTCATTAGCCCAGTCGGAGCAAAACAATAGGACGTTAAACCCCATTTCATTTCATTTTGCTTACAATGTTGGCAGACTTTGCCCGCAAGAACTGACAAACAAAGGGAAGCTTTATTAATCTTGGGACTGTAAACGATTCGCCTCTCTATATAGTTCTTCAAACACATTGTCGTCTTCATGACCGCACTTTGCTGAGATACTTTAGCTAGTTCGTCTAATGTTAAAGTCTAATGTTAAAGTATCAGGGGTGTACTTGGTTCGTTCTGTAGACACAAACATCTCATCTTCTCTTTCAGACCATTAACAATCTCCAACATCGGCTTTTTCTCCAAACTCTGAACACATTCCTCGTATTCCCGCTTCCTTTTACCTTCAACAAATTATATACCAACATACCTGGCTTAATTTTTCTGCAAAATACATACACTCAACTTACCTCCAGTGAAGTCAACTCCTATCCTGACGGTTAACCAACTTCATTAGCGTAACCAACTACCTAATGAAGCACTAGCCTTGCATTATCTATAGTAATGTCTTTGTTTGCCATCTCCATCAGATCTGTTAGCAATTCCCCGGTTAGGTGTTTCACTTCATCTAGTATCACCTCTTCCGTCTTCCTATCCTTAGTTATTCTAGCGTATTCTTTTAGAAAAGTACCTCCTTTAATTCCCTTGATAAGTGGAATCAGATTAACCCCCTTTAAACTGTTCCTCTTTTCAAAACTATTGGTAAAACCATCTGAAAAATATTTAAAAAAACGTGCAAATCGTTACACCCATCATGTAAACAACACAACATGAATATAATAAACACGATAGAACCAAGTAGTTACACCACCTTGTCACAACCCAATTCTGAACTCAGACTGATAGCTGTATAAACACACTTGTCTAAACAACCATGACTGATGACTCGCACTAAAATTTAATACGACCACGTGCGTTGACCTATTGATCCACAATTAGGCATGTAAATAATTCCTACACATATAAAACGCCCAGTCAGCCACAATTGCATCTATGTATGATAATAGTACTACAGTCAAATAACATCCACTTATAAATTTTACTGAAAAATTACTAATACTACCCCGCAAATAATTTCACGCCACCAAGGCTTTCCTATTTCTATCAGGACTATAACATTGTAATACCACCAATGTACAACCTGAAGCTATCAAAGCCACATCAATATGCCACCAAGGCAATTGGCTATCTGAGCCAAAATCAGTATGCCACCAAGGCTATTGGCTACCAAAGCCAAAATCAATATGCTTATCAATATGCCACCAAGGTATCTTCAATAAAAAAAAGTAAATGATATTACTTTTAAATGAAGCAAGAACACGTTTCCACACCTGACTGTCTTAATGAAGAATGAACTGAATACGTACACATCATAATACTTCATCATCGGAAATGTCACATGAGGATCGACTTGCATTCAATATGTCCTTTACTTTTACCTGTTTCCAAACAAGCTCATGAATTTATTTTTTGGACAATTGGTTTAAGTAGTTTTCCTTGTCAATATCGTTCATGACATTGGACAAATCTCATTCCCATGTAGACTCGTCATCCAACTCTTCAATATTAAGAATCTTCATTGCTGCCAATACTTCATAGCCATGTGTTACAAACTGTATAAAATCATTTACATAATTGGCCAACATCTTTTTTCACATTATTGTGGCCATAGGCATTGTTCAAGTGACACAGGGAGCATTTCTCTGACGGACTACTTCCACTGAAGAAAATGTCTATGATATCCTGGAAAAACAATATATAAAAACATAATGTTATTCATTTATTTTGTGTTCATAGCATTGGTACCAAAATTCATATTAGCTCTAGTTCCTGCATAATATATGCTTCTATTAAAAAGTCTTCTCTAGCTACCTTTAAGATCCTTCTGGGAAATTCTTGGATGCCCAGTTCCAACCCGTCTATTATCTGTAGTTAGGCAAGTTGCACGAATCATGCAATCATCCCCATAACATATCAAACGATATAATTTCCATCCTAGATTGGTATATATTTCTGCTGCAGATGTTCCAATATGTTTACAACTCCAGCAATCGGGGAAGGATTCTTGAATGCCCGTTTCCAACCCTTCAAATTTTTTATCTGTAAACATATCAAACGATATAATTTTCCATCCTCTTTTGGCACATATTTCTGCTACAGATGTTCCCATATGTTTACAACTCCAGCAATCGTGGAATGATTCTCCTGGAGGCCACCCATGTCAACCTACAAAACAATTAAATTTTTTATGTCGCTTTTCTATTGTACATGTAAAGGCATGTTTAGTATAAGATAATGAAGAGTGGATTATAAAACATTTAAGGATTAACAAAGTCTACAGATATTGCTAACTTTCCCTAGATTCAAACCATAAAGTGCTGAAGAGTCGTTTACACCAGCAATATGTTACCAGTGTTACAGGTGGTAAATACAATTTTTTGTGTATATTAATTTTTGATGTTTTTAGTACAGCACATGTTAGTAAGCACCTTTAAACCCCCACTTTAAGATTTTACATTTCATCTGTCAGTTTCTTTAAGCTGTTGTTACTTTAATAATAGTGAGTACATTTAACTGAGTTTCATTGTGTTTTGGTCATGTGATGTATTTGTTGGTAGATACATTCAGTTGTTAACCATCTTTGTTTCAAAGAGGAGCTTTAACAAAGTAGTGTCTAAGTTTAGTTTTTGGAGATTGATTTCTGTGAAGTTTTTGTAAAGAATTGCAGTTATTTACCAGGTATGTGGCATTATGTTTTACTGATTATATAAGCTGTATCTTTAACTCTGTAGTTTGATATTTTAATACTGAAGTTGTTAGTTTTTATGGATCAAGTTGGTAAAGTTTATTTGCATACATGATACATACATTCACACATTATATATATATATATGTATCATCCTATTTCAGGTTGTTAGATTGATTACATTTAGCTAATCTAAGTATTTAAAACCCCACTTCGGGTAAGTTAGTTTAGAATGTAAATATAGAGTAGTTTAGTTAAAGTACCGGTACCATTTACTATTTGTTGCAAACAGTAATTTACTTTGTAGCACAGATTTATTTGTGTGCTGTAGTAATGGTGTTAGATAATTTGTTTATGATGTTTGTATTTTAATATTCTCTTTTATATTTGCAGGGTTTTTATTACTTGCCTGGTTTATGCTATAATAAAGATTTGAACCCGTTCTGGATTGTTTGTTGCAACGACCCCCAGACCCCTCTACAACATTGGAGCCCGATAAGTTTTCTGAAGAGAACATCCGTCGGAGTCAACCAGCTTATGGTGGATAATTATTGGTGGAAATTCGTCTTCAGCGGTAGAATCAATCAACTTAAAACGTGAATTGCGTGTGCGAACTTTTTAATCTACAAAGATAGCTATCTGTGCAGATGTTTGGGGTAGGCCTACGTATATTTTAGTCAAGTTTATAGATATTTTGTAATTAAGTTATTTGAATTATTTAAGGTTAATTATCTCCCTTTAGTCTTCAAATCATTTCAGATTTTTGTACTTTAAGTTGTCTCCCTTTAGTCTTCACAGCAGTGACTTAAATTGGAAACATTTTTGTTTTCTTTTGTTAATTCAAGTCCCACCTCACCCCACCCCACCTACCACTCCAACAACCCTTATTTTTATTTATTTATTTTTTTTTATTTTAAGATAATCATCAATTTAGATTATTTACATTTTGTTTTGTATAAAATATTATGCGATGGTTTTGTTTTTACTGTCACAGCTTAAGCTGAGATTTTAGATGATAGATTTATAAACAAATTTTTGTTTGTTATGGTTTTACTATGATATGACTAATACATTCTATATATAGCAAGGATATTTAGATAGTTTTCAGTGACACTTAACATAACAAAATACATTTTACAATTGATATTACATTTATCATATACACTTGTACATTATATTGACCCAGTTTGATAGTTTTGGAAGTTGGTGTATTTTGGTGTTTGTTTATAGTTTAGACTGGACTTTGAAAGTTTGTTGTTGGAATTTGAAAGTTTGTTGTTGGACTCAGGTATTTTGGATGCTTTGATTGGTATGTTAGTAGTTTGTCGATTTTGAATTTTTTCATTGGGTATTTTGGTTTTGAGTTTGTGCATTACTCGAATTGGAATTCGTTTTTTTTTAGGAAAGTTCATTTTTCATTTTCAGGTTTAGTTTTTTAGTACTCTGAAATTAGGTCAACGTATAAGCTGTTTTCATGATTGATCACTGCACTCACATTTTATGACTTTATGTTGTGACGTAGTACAGTATATGGGAGAATATATGTTCTATTTCAGCATTTGTATTTACAATATAATTGATACGGTGTAGAAACATTATTTATTCTATTTCAGCATTTGTATCTAGAATAGAGTTATATGTATATGTTTATGCTTATATGGTACGAACTTAATTACATTTTGGGTTATCTAATCTGTCTGTTCGTCAGTCATACATTTTGTTGGTTTGTGCCAAATCTATATTTTTTTTTTACAGGAATATTTGAATGATACATATACACTTGTTATTAATAATTCATTCATTTGTTGTGTTGTTTGTCTTTTATGCTATAATGGCAACAGGTGGTGGCAGATCAGAGTTTTCCTCAGAGGAGGAGAAGCATTTGTTAGACATGTTCTCTAATTTAGATGTAAAACCGAAGCTTGAATCATCTGAGGATTTTATAGAATGGATGTTTGATTATTTGAAATCTCAGGGTAGAATTCCGCCGAAGGATGAAAGTTTTGGGATGGCAGATCAATCAGCACGTCAAGATGATGGGGTAAAATATCAGCCTAAGGTTGAAGAACAGCCCAGTTCAGCAACAGATAAATTTAAGTTTATACCCCAAGTGCCAAGAATAACAACATTCTCCGGTGATCCTGGTTGTAAAGGAGATACTTCATTCGACTTATGGAAGTTTGAGGTTTTAAGCCTTATGAAAGATGGTTTACATAGCAAAGACTCTGTGAAATTATCTGTTTTAAAGTCGTTGCGTGGAGAAGCTGCAAGAGTAGCTATGAGATTGGGCCAGGATGTTACTGTTGATAAGCTATTGATGAAACTGCAAAGCAGATTTGGTATTGTGGAACAAGGGCAGAGTCTTTTGTCGCAATTTTATTCCACAACTCAAGCTCCCAACGAGACAGTGTCAAAGTGGGCTTGCAGGTTAGAAGATTTACTCGACAAAGCCAGGATAGAAGGGGAGGTGGAAAGTAAAACTTTTGATGCCAAACTTAGGACGAAGTTTTGGAGTGGTTTGAGGAGTGACTTAAAGGATAAGTCAGCACATAAGTTTGATCGGTTGACAAATTTTGAAGATCTTCTCAAAGAAGTTAGAAGGATAGAACATGACTGTATTCCTTTGATATGATTTAAGAGTAGTAGTGCTAGAGGCATGACTAAGATGGCTCAAACGGTACAGGACGATAAGTTGAAGGCTATGGTGTCGTCATTAACTGCAAGTGTTCAACCTTTGCAGAAAGAAGTCAGGTCAATTAAAGCTGATAAAGATCAAGGAGTGCCTCAGCTGCCTTTGGGTAGATCAAGGTCTGCTATAACGTGTTACAGTTGCGGTCAGATAGGGCATGTAGCTCGTGGGTGCAGGATGCCACTGCCACAAAAGGATCAACATCATTTAAACCGTTAAATGTCACTGATGAGGGACAATCAGTAGACATTCTTTTATCCAGTCCCATGAATATTATAGGGACCCCCAGACCCCTCTACAACACCAGCAAAGGGTTAGCTGATCAGGAACTGCAGGCTTTTTCTCAACCATTACTGCTTGCCCTAGTGATGTCAGGAAAAGGGTTTTTTAGTAATTCAGGTGGTATGAAAAGCCAACACGACAAATGCTACTGGCAGTGAAGGTTAAAGATCACTATATTATGGTAGTGGACCATCAAAATAATAAGCCAATTATATGCCCATCTTCATTAAGTCGCAAAAAAGGTAGGAAGCTGAAGAAAGTAGCTTGTTCATTCAAGTTTGCTCAAAAAGCATTATGACAATTCAGAAAAAAAATCCTCACATCAGCCTCCTCTGTGCATTTAACCAGAAGTCATGTTTTATGAGTTTTACAACCACTGGTGTCATCTCCTTCATAGATGGAATATATTTACACAGAATTCGCTGTAAGATTATACCCATTCTGTCTGTGATTCTTTTCATATCCATATCATCAGGTAAAACCTGCTCTTTCTTGATATCACGTGCATTAATGGCTTGTTGATCATCTAACAAAGAAGTAGACACCCTGCTTTTGCACCATATGACAACACCCATAATTTTATCTTGTTATGACTTTCTGCTGAATGATGTCTTGTTTTTACGTTTTTGCCAACATTGTCCCAAACTATTGTGTAACCTAGACATATTTCTGCGAATAACAAAAAACAAAACATAATGAAAACAGTCTAAACTGCAAAAAATGTGTCTATTATCAGAAAACATTATTGCTACTTGATTCGGTTAAATACTTTTTATTGTCTTCAACTATTTGATAATGTACGACTCAGTCCTAAATATATAGTTGAAGTTGGTGAACATCTAAATAGAAACTAGAAACGAATAGAAATAAAAAAAAATATGTCTGACTGTAACCAAAAGCGTATAACTAAAGAAAACATTAATATAATATATTCCATAAAATACAGGTTTTGTTTACACTGTAAATGTTTCATTAAATACAAATTATATGACAAAACTAGACATTTTGATTAAGGTTCGGTTGATAAAAAAAGCATTAGTTGATTATTTGGCGTTACTATAAGATGTTAGACACATAGAGTGTACTTACATTCATGCTGGATCCATTCTGTCACAATTCAATGCTGTTAATGTTAATACCTTGTATAAGATTAAACATTTTGGGCTTCCTTCCAAAAATCTACAATGGTGGTTACATAGTGGCTAATCTAAGGGAAGTTCATCAGGGTATCCTGACAACTCATCTTGGGTACCTTTACTGTTCATTGATCCGAATCCGTAATGGTAAATATATCTATTATTTAATGTCAGCTATTCCTAATAAGTGCTTTTTAAAAAATATTTAGTAGTATTCTAAATTTACATGTAACAAAATCCTATAGCACTTATCAGTAATGTGCGGAAAAGATAGTTATACTTACACACTGGACCCTTTGTTCTGACTCGGGTGTTCAAGTTACTGATCAACCTGTAATGTGTTGTTTTAGCACGTGCACAGGTGATCATTTGAGGAAATGTAGGTGTTCATATAAATGAACACCCCAACATACTAACCCGGTGATTGTGAAAACAGACCACGCATTTTCGTGCGTGCACTGTATTAGAAATAACAAGAAACACAGTACGTTACGCTCGTAATTAAAAAATACATGTAGTTAAAACAATAAATATTTTTTGAATTTAGATTGTGAAATAGTATCATTCGTTAGAAAACTTTCCTACATCATTGTACATGCTATTTTTTTGTAACATGCTTAGTTTGTTCTGTGGCTGACAATTCGTGAATGTAAACGTATTCCAGTCAATGCAGCATACCCCATTCACACCAAATTGATATTACATTATTCATTGGCCTGTTGTGGATTTTAAAGATAGATTGCCAGGCAACGAAACATACCCCCACAGCAGCTAAGTCGCCCGTGCAGTCAACAAGGGGTGTCGCATATTTATTTCTTTTGCCGGCAAGGGGAGAGAAATGGGGTTTAACATCCACTCCACTCGGGACTAACACATGGTTCAATTTTATTTCAAAAATTCGCTTGTGCGTAGGGGTCCTTAGCAGTGGCAGGAAATCGATGGACCCGGAGAAAACCCGCGAGGTTGGATAGGCTACCCTACACCTTGCCACGTACAACTCGGGAATCGAAACCACGCCAGTTGACTCAACGACAGACCTTGTGATACAACGCACACGCGCTAACCATTCGGCCATCGAACCATCCTTGTCGGTAAGGAAAACATTTACAACACATTAAAATATAATTACGAATAACAAACCCATTAAGTAATTGTCATACTCGTTTGGCTTCTAATTCTGCCCTATACTGAAAACATATATCAAAGGCCATAAATCTGGAAGTCATTATCGGAAATCATTGAAAATCAATAGGATTCTACGTCTCATGACCATAATTGACGGGAGCCACGACATGTTGGCGTATAAAAAGTGTCGAAAACCGGAAATCAGCAAATAGACTTAAAATACATTTATCCATATACCAATCTACATTTCTTAATAAAAAGTGGCATTGGAATGATCTGATTTGTATGCATCGTAAATAAACAGGTAAACACATATTCAGATTATTGAGTAAACAACAATTTATTATGACGTGCAAAATAATGTATTGATACCTGTTAAGTTAGATGAACACCCGAGCTCGCGCAATTGAACACTTCGAACGCTGACGCGTTCTCAGTGTACAACCTTGCACGAGTTCGGGTGTTCATCTAACTTGAACCCCTCTGTCTCAGTCGATAACCCTTACTTATCAGTAATGTGGGGAAAAGATAGTTATACTTACCTTGTCATAGTTTTGTCATTTTTAGCTCTTAACACACTGCGTTATATCCTGCAGTACATACAAGTGGAGTTTTGATTTTTAATTTTTCTAGGACTTCCT